TATAAATGGTTGAAGTTAGACTAAAGTTTCAGTTTCTTTAGCCATGCTCGATTTTATTATTAAAAGTAATACAAATATTTTTCGAATACTTACCCGAATATATATAAGTTACAAATACTTGTTATAACATTTTTTACATAATTAGAATCATATATAGAAAGAAAAATATAGACCCATAAAGAGGGAAAGAGATCAAAAAGAAAAGGAGTGGGAGCACTGATAAAGAGTGAAAAATATATCTGCCTCTGCCTCTTTCTTTATCAATTCTCTGTATCTCTCTTTTCATTTCTCTCTATCGTTTGACTTATGTGTCTTTTAGCTGTCTCTATCCCTCTTCATCTCTTTTCTATACCCCTCTTTCTCTTCCCCTCTCTCGATTTCTCTTTATCTGTTTTATGTCTTTCTCTCCTTTTCGCTTACCGTTCATGTCTCATTTTCTCTCTCACTCGCTCTCTATCCCTCTTTCTACTCACTGTGTCTCTATTACTCTCTCTATATGTGTCCCTCTCTGTGTTTTCCTTCCTCTTTCTTTATTTTTTTTCACTTCTCGCGTTGCTCTGGGATCATATAGAAATATCCCATATATCTCATATGCTTGGACTCACTCAGGTGTAGTTTTTTCTACTTCCAAAGCTGAATGGGCCTAGACTTGACCATCCCATTAGGCACTGTAATGAGAGTTTCGCAAATTATAATTGAGAACTATCTTTCTATAGGCTATGCCTATCGTGAACTTCTCTTCCTCTGTGTCAATTCACCCCCAAGCTAGCTTTATTCTATATGGAGTCTATAGAGTCTAGGCAGAGGTCATGCCAAATTGCATTCATTATTTTACAGGGTATTTTCGAGCAGGTTCAATGGATTGACAATGCCAAAGCTCAGAAACGGATACGGAAGCGGGGCAGTCCAGTTGTCCGGTTGTCCAGTCGGTCAGTCGTATAGGCGTCCACTGCCACGCCCAGTCGTCGAAAAAGGAGGCGAATATCGTGCATGTTCATTAAGCGCTAACGAAATCAATGAATGGTGTAAAAATTAATATCCTGTGCATAGCAAACAGAAAAAAAAAGAAAATGAAAATGAAAATCGAAAAAAAATGAGAGAAGGAGAAAAATCGCGGGCAATTCTTATGCCAAGTGCAGCTCCAACAGGCATGGCGGGTGGTTGGGGCTTGTCAAGGGGCCTGAGCGGGAGGGTGAGGGAGGGTGGGGGGTGTGGCAGGAGGAGGGGGCAGCCGGCAGCCGGCAGCAGTTTTAATTTACACAAAGCGTAGTCAGGCGTGTAATGCGACAAGGCTGCTCGATGGGGCGGAAGAGGGCGGGGCGGAGGCGCAGTCTTGTTGCCACGAACTGAAGTCGGGCGGGGGATGGGGGATGGGGGCGTGGCTGACTGCACGACAATTCGCGACGACAAGGACGACATTTAAAAAATGCCTTGAGGCAGGCGACGACGACGACGGCGTCAAATGATTTATGAAATTGCTTTTGCCGCTGCATACTTCAAGGAAGGAAGAGACACAAAGAGAGAGAGAGAGAGAGAGAGAGAGAGAGAGAGAGAGAGAGAGGCAGAGAGAGAGAGGCAGAGAGGGAGAAAGTGTGTGGCTGGAGGGGGATAAACCGCAAAGGGAGACGCCTGATGGAGCCGCAACTGTTGTCAATTAAGCAACAACAGAGAAATACAATCAACCAGAAACTTCATCAAAGTCGAAATATGCAAATTTTATTTCACTTTCGCTCTGCTTGCAATGGAGCTGGGGAAGGACTACAGCGGGGAAAGTAGTTAAAAGCGCATAAAAAATGTATGTAAAATGTGATATTACATTGTTGGTCTCTCTATGCGATTCTCATAGATTCAGATGGCATGAAGGTGGCATGGGAAAAGCGGATTGGAGTGAGACTGAGAGAGATGGGTAGATGGGTAGTTAGAGTCCAAGTTAGTTAGAGAAGAAGTAGACAGGGAGAGAAAGCAAGAGAGACGGAGACGGAAAGAGATATATAGAGTGAAAGAGAGAGGGGGAGAAAAATAGATAACGAAATACAGAGAAGAAAATAGAGATATAGAGAAAGAAACTGAGAGAGAAAGAAAGAACTATAGTACATCGCTAAATATACATGGAGGGAGATAGAGAGTAGAAGTAAAGTGAGAGAGAAAGAGAGAAATAGGGAGAGGAAGCGAGCAATATAGAGAAAGAAGCTGAGATGGTGAGGGAATGAAATAGTGAAAGAGGGAAGGAGAGAGAAATAGACAAAGAAATAGAAAGAGAAAAAGAGAGATATATAGCGGGATAGCGAAAGACCTACATAGATATAGAGTGAAAGATAAATATACATGGAAAGAGAGAGGAAGAGAGATAGAGACTGGGCGTAAGGTGAGAGTGGGAGAATGAAGGGAAGGAATCGATGCTGAGAGGGACGGGGAAATAAAAAGATAAGGGAAAGAGAGAAAGAGGACAAGAGAAATAAAGAGAGAAATGCGGGGTCAAAATGCGAGAGAAAAAGATAGTAAGAGATAGGATTTAAGAAAGGAAAACAAATAAGTATATACCTACATACGAATATACATAGTATATACAGGTCTCTCTCTCTGTCTTTCTCTCTGTCTCTCTCTCTCTCTCTCTCTCTATAGAGAATAGTAGAGAAAAAGAGAGGCAGATAATCTAGTGCCTACATAAAGAGATAGGCAGAGGGAAGCAAGGAAACGAGAAGGAGAGAGGGAAAGAGCAACTCGAAAGAAGATAGCCAATGAAAGCGCTAGGAAGGAACAAACTGAGATTTGTATGTGAAGTCAGAGAAATGAAACGCATGAGATTCGAACATATTCAGTATACATGTATATATATTTGGAACTATCAATTATTATGCGCATCGGCTCGGACAACGTGAGATTGGGAGGAGCTAGTCGATCTGGGTGACGGACGCCTCATCGTTGCTGGAGCAGCGGCTGCTCTCGCCGTCCGTGCGGTACTTGATGGAGTCGATGATCTCGACGTCGATGTCCCGCTCGTGCTGCTGGCTGTTGGTCTCCAGCAGGGCGCCGGCCATGTCGCTGGAGCCTCGGCCGAGGGAATCGTCGTCGCAGAGGTCCGTGGCACAGGCCGAGGCCGACTCGGACTTGGTGTCCAGGTCGCCGCCCACGGCAGCCGCGGCCGCAAACTGGCTGTAGAGCCGCGGCAGGTGCTGCAGCATGTAGCTGGCCCCAGACTTGGACAGGTTGGCGGCAGCGGCGGCAGCTGCTGCTGCTGCGGCTGCCGCTGCTGCCGGCTGATTCTCCTTGCTCTCGCCGAGATCGTAGTACTTGGCGTAGTGCTCGAATTTGCCCAGTGGACCCACGCCCGGGCAGCTGGTGGTGCTGCTGCTGCCGCCGCCTGCACCGCCCCCTGCTCCGCCACCAATGGCGGACAAGTTGATGGCATCGTTCTGCGCTGACTTGGGTATGGGCACAGTGAAGGCGGAGCCATGGCGCTGCTTGCTCAGCAAATTGCTGTTGCTGTTGCTGTTGCTGCTGGCCAGGCCGCCGCCAGCTGTGGCTGCATCCTCGGCTGCCAGCAGAGCGCCGCTGTTGCTGTTCGAGAGCGGCGACAGGTTCTCCTTCTTGCGGTCATAAATGTGGCCGGAGACGCGCAGATCGATGAAGAAGTGCAGCGGGTCGATGCCGTAGGGCGCATAGAGCGGCGGATACCAGACGGGCGGCGGCGGCGGCAGCACCAGATCCTGTGGCGGCAGCGATGCTGCCGGCGTTGCGTTCTCCTCCAGCGCGCTGTCCACGGCGCCGCCCAGAGCGGCCTTTGTTAGCGGCTTCGTCTCCAGCTTGCTGTAGCCGTACGGCGTGGCTGTGGGCGTCGGTGTCAGTGTGGGCGTGGCCGATGTCTTGTTGGTCAGCTCGAGCGGCTTCTCAGCGGTTGCGCTAGCAGCAGTTGCTGCGGTGTTAGCAAGCTGCTGCTGCTGCTGTTGTTGCTGCTGCTGATGATGTTGGAGATGTTGCTGCTGCTGTTGCTGATGTTGCTGCTGCTGCTGCTGCTGTTGCTGTTGCTGCTTCTCCTCGGCGTCGCGCCGCTCGCGCAGCTGCTCGTAGTAAGGTCTGTGCGACCAGGAGCGTTTGCGTGAGCGTCGCACCAACGCCGCCTGCTGCTGTTGCTGCTGCTGCTGTTGCTGCTGGTGTTGCTGCTGCTGCTGCTGTTGCTGCTGCAGCTGCAATACACGCGCGGTCTCATTGTTGCGCGTCTGCACCAGCGAGCGCAGCATATCGCTGAAGAAATAGTTGTTCGGGCCAACGGGCGCCGAGTACAAATATGGGGGCGTGGCAGCCATCAAGCGGCTGACGTAGTCCTGATTGCGCAGCTCGTGAATGTTGCTCTTGCGCGGCGCCAATGGTTGCTGCTGCGGCTGCTGCTGTTGCTGCTGCAGTGACTGGGCTGCTGCTGCTACTGCTGCCTGCTGTGCCGTTGTGGGCGTGGCTGTTGCTGTGCTGTTGCTGCCGGGACTGCTAGCATTGTTGTTGTTGTTGTTGCTGGTATTATTATTAGTGTTGTTGCTGTTGCTGCTGTTGTTGCTGCTGCTGCTGTTGCTGCTGTTGGCATTGCTGCCGCTGCCGCTGCCATTGCCATCCTTCATATTTTCAATGCTGCAAGCAAACAAAAAAAAAAAAAAAATCCAAAAAGGCGATTAGGTGTGAGTGGAACAGTCGGGCATAGCCGAGCGCAAAATACTCTATGCATCTATGCATCAAATGATGATAGCTTAGACTACATTTTTTTATCCAAGAATGAAGTTTACTTAGTCAGGAATGAATTGCTGTTGCAGCTGGGCGAATGATATATAATATTAACAAGTAAGAAGGCTCCAGTCGAGACTGCTCGACTAGGAGATACCCTGAACCCTCCAAGCTGATATTCTAATCATTCTGGACTTCTTTTATGCACACATACATACACATATAAGCACACACTATGTCTCCAGGTCTAAAAGTGCTCAAATTAGGCTGAAAAAACAATGTCAATGTTTCGATTATTTTCGATAAAAAAGTTATCGGATGAGTTCTCGAAAAAATATGATAAACCTTTACTGCCTATGGTATACACGAGTATGCATGCCAAATTTCAGCTCTCTATCTCTTATATCTTCTGAGATCCTTTTGCTCAGACAGACGGACAGACAGGGCTATATCGACTCAGCTCGTCGTCCTGATCAAGAATATACTTTATGGGGTCTGCGATGATTCCTTCTGCCTGTTACATACTTTTCACAAAACCATTATACCCTGATTTCCCATTTTCAATGGGTTCAGGAAAAAATGATCTTAAAGGCTCATAAACTTCATGAGTTAAATATCCTATCATGATGCGCAATGTTTGTATATGTGTGTGCGTAGTCATATGTATGTGCCTGGATCTAGAGACTCTGGAGCTTCTACAAATACATATATGTTCATATCAATGGAATATTAATATGGATGCCAACTATTTCTATTAGGACTGGCTGAGATTCTCTGGCTGAATCTTAAGTTTGAATCGCATTAAAAGAGATTAAGCTTTGTATTAAGAATCACATATAATAAATAAAGCTTTTGTCAATTTTAAATTTAACGTTCATCAATCTAAGTTTCTCTTCGGCAATCGAGAACTTTTGGCTATTGAAGAATAGTAATATTAATATAAAAGTAAAGAATCGCTAAGTATAAATTATCATAGAGTTTTCGTTATTAATTTTTAGCTAGAGCTGGATTAAGCTGCCCCTAAAGATAGCAGTAAACTTATTAATATAATATAACAACTTTTACAAAAAAAAACTTTATCGGCTTCATTTAGTAGATCTTAAGTCAACGTCAAATCTCAATTGCCTTCAACTTAAAGGCTTTATGACGTTTGCTGAGAATTTCTTGGATTCGTACTCCCTCTACATCAGCAAGTATTTAATATAATTGAAAAAGATGTTTGCTCGTAGCATTTGCATCGTCTTAAGCTGTTTTCAAGTTTCGTCCAGTCTCTCTCCCTCTCTCCCCCCCCCCCNTCCGTATGAGTGCGTCGATCTCAGAAGTTATAAGAGCTAGAGAGCTGAAATTTGGCATGCATACTCGTGTATACCATACGCAGTACGAGTTTGCTTTATTTTTTCGATAAATCATACGATAACTTCTTTTATCGAGAATGGTCGAAAATTTGATTTTGGTTGATTTTGATTTGGTTTTTGACCTGGAGTCTTCAAATTTGCTTTGTATATAAAGTTAATCGATACAAAGATTTTGTAATTTACAGATTTTGAATAACACGCCCCCTTCGCCCCCAATTTGTAAAAAACGCATTTTAAGTACTAGAGACTTGTGCTTTGGAATGTACACACATATTCACCATATGATTGCGCTCTAAAAGTCATTAGGATCATATGTCGACAAAACAAATTATTCAACAAATAAATTCTCATTTTATTGCCCACACTGCAGTGCAGCCGCTGCTTACTGCGCAGTTAGCAGAGAGCAGGCTTATAAGTGCAAGTGTATGTATGTGTGCATAAAAGAAGTGCAGAATGATTAGAATATCAGCTTGGAGGGTTCAGGGTATCTCCTAGTCGAGCAGTCTCGACTGGAGCCTTCTTACTTGTCTTAAATGTTAAAGTCCCATTAACTTCCCTTTTAAATATAATTACAGGAACACATGTTAAAATATCGTGAACATTTTTATTTATGTTAAGATCATATCAACATTTCTGTTTATGTAAACGGTGTGCTAGCATTCCTGTCTCCCAAGTTACCAGAAAACTGCCTTATTTCTTTGAATATGCAATATAAACAGCATCAATTTCCCATATATGTATGTTTCACATATCTCTTGATTTTCAATTCTTCTCTGTTGATTTTTCAAGTCCCATTAACAGCATCAATTTCACAGCCGCTTAACAGTTGAGCTCAATTGTTCTACAGCTGGAGCAAATCTCACTAATCTGCTATGATGCACATATGTGCTGATATTCTGTGTGAAATAGAAGCCCCACACATGCACACCCAGACACGCACACAGGTAGAGTGTGAGATTCATAGAGAGAGAGACAGATATATAACTCTCTCTCTCTCTCTCTCTCTTTCTCTTTAGACTGTGGATTACAGCATTTGCTGCACGTGTTTTCTGTGGCGCACTTTTACCAATTTGCATAGAAAAACAAGCGGCATAAAAACACTTCAATACACACGCACACACACACACACATACATATGCACACCCACTTGCGCTTAGTCTGTTAATAAGCTTACACGACGCGCCAAATTCCAGAAAATTAAATGTTTCAATGGTTGTCACACACACACACACAGAGACAGTCGCACCCCAACTTGCCACACACACACACACACACACACACACACACACATACACACAGAGAGGAAAACAAACTCAATTGTTTTGTTCGCCTGCCAAACTGTTGAGGCACTTGTCGCACCGCGCCTGTTGATGTGCCAGCCACACGCTTGCCTCTGCCTGTATCCTGTTCTTGTCAATTCTAAGCCCCCCACCCACCCCCCATCCCCCTTGCCATTCCCACCCCCAATCACATCCACTCATCGTGTTGCTCTTTCATTTTCGCATCAGAAAACAACAAAAAAAAGGAGCAAAAGTTTTGTTGCTGCTGTCGCGTCTGTTGCTTTGCCAACTCGTTGTTGTTGTTGTTGTTGTTGCTGCTGTCGCTTCCTCTTTCTTTTAATAAAACATTTTTTATTGTTTTTTCATTTGGCTGTAAAAATATATAAAAGTTTTCAACTGTCGCTTGGCGATTTGCATTTTTTTGGCAGCGCTGCCGAAGGCGCCGCATTTCGGACCAAGTTGAAATTAGATTATGCTAATTAAGGCGTGGGTGGCCACGCCCCACATCCCACTCCTTCCCAACTCCCCTACTCCTTCCGCTGAAGCACTGATTGATGCGGCAGAGCTTTAATTGGCCGCGTCTCGCCCTGCTGCTGCTGCTGCTGCCTCTGTTCCTGCCTCTGTCACTGCTGCTGCTGCTGCTGGCCGAGCAGCATTTTAATATTCAATCAGCAGCTGGCGGCAACTTTTTTATGGCCACGTCAACAAACTTGGCCAAGCGAGCGCGCCAGTTAAGTCTGCAGCTGAGATTAATGCCCAGCTGGCAAAAGTGCAACAGCAGCAGGAGCCGCAGGAGCAGCAGGAGCAGCAGCAGCATCTTTGAGTTCTGTTTGTGTTGCGGCAAACAAAAATAAAACTTTTGCATAGTTGCGTAGCCACAATTAAAGCGAGCAGCAACTGTTGCTGTTGTTGCTGTTGCTGCTGCTGCTCGACGCCAACAACTATTGCTGCTGCCGCTTGTTGTTGCTGCTGCCGTTGTGCTAACAGCTGCTGCTGGATTACTCTTGGAGAATCATTTTAATAGGCGGCTGAGAAACTAGTTCCATAAGGCGGAACTGATCCTATTTGTAAAAATATAGAACATAGAATATAGAATGTAGCATATAGAATATGAATATAGAATATGAATAAAGAATATGAATATAGAATATAGAATATAGAATATATATGGAATATATAGAATTTGTAGCATATATAGAACATCTAGAGCATATAT